TCTGCTGACACATTTATTTCTCAGTAAACGAAGACTGTTTAGGTTTAATGCATTTGTGGTTAGCAATAGTTTAAAAGATCAATGTAAATTCATTCTGAACTAGTAAATAAGGCTTTAATGAAACTTCTAACAGCATGCTTTCACACCTTAGAGCTCTTTATCATTCTAGGGTGACACAGCAGGATTCTCCTTGAGCTTGATGACACGCACATAACATTATGAAGTGTTTGACAGATTTTATTTGATGTTTATTTGATTTACGGGGTTGATATTGGATTTCAACATCTCACTATCAGCCTTTTGTTCAGGCTTGGGGCAGAATGCTTATGAAGATAGTCTCTTCTAAATGTGCTTATTAATACATGTATATATATATGTATATACACATACACTATTAATGAAATGCAGCTTAAGACTGGGATCATTAAACACTTCCACTCTTCTAAATGAGGTAATGTATGAGAAAGCACACTGCAAACTGTAAAGCCGTATACAGATGTTAGTTATCATAATTATTGTTGTTACAGGAAACCCAGGTTTTATATATTATTATTCTGTTTTCCTTTAACACTTAATTCAAAGAGTAAATACAGACGACCAATTTCCTTAAAAACCTGCTGCAGCTTTTTAAACAGTTCTGAGTGTTTCATTAAGGTTTTATTGTAAATCATGCATGATGCTATTAATTTAGTTTAGCCTTAAAAAAATTCTACTGAGATAATAAACATGACTCGTTACATTAAACTTTGTCAAAGTTAAATTTTATTAAGAGAATGCTGGAGACTTTCCACCTGGGCCTGGGCACCACTAGATGAAATATGTCAAAATGCTCTTCTTTGAATGTAAAGATGCCTCCTATCCCTCTCCCAGTATCCTCTGTCGATTTGCCTTTTCTGTCCTTTGTAGATGATGAATTTCTTAAGTTACTCTTTGTCCAGAGGAGGCAAAGAAAGGGCTTTTTTCTTTCTCTATGTCTCCCTTTTTTGGTTTGGCCTGGAAGAAATTTAGGGACTAGAAGACATTTGCATGCTTTTAATAAAAGTCAAGATAAAATCACTGCGGCAAAAACAAATGATTTCTTGGTTAGAATTTGAACTGTATCCTAGTGATGTGAAGAAAGCTTGGCAAATTTTATGAAAGTTAAGGAAATTTCTCATGGTGATAGATGGTCAGATCCTTTCTCAGCAAAACTTTGAAAGTCCAGTTTCCTCTTCACCATATAAACTTCACAATATGGCCACACTCTTCTTTTCTCTTTGGTTTAAACACATAATGAGCAGTAAAGAAATTACCAATGATTTATTGGGTATTTGAACAAATGAAGAAAAATTAAGCAAATATTTTGTGTCCAGGGCTTGAGATATCTCAAATGTTTTTATCTGATATGTATTTAAGAAGGAAACACAAATGCTAAAAGGCAAAGAAGCAGAAAGTACTTCTTCCCATTGATAAATGATACCAAAAGTGTTCAACATACAGAACTTGTTAGTAGATACCGTAGTATGGTGTATCCATGGGAAGGAGTAAAATAAACATAGTTATATATACTTGAAAAGTTACATATACTTACAAAGTAAGAAAGCACAAATAACTCAGAGAAACAAAACACTACAGAACAATAAGGGAGGCATTAACTGATCCAATCCAGGAACCCCAAGATAAAGCTGGCCCCGTCTCCTCCCTGGGCTCCACATCCCCAGCCCATTCTGATGCGACAGGCCCGTGAGTTCTGTTCCTTGCCTCCTACTGCACCTCAGGTGCATCCCTACTTGAGTCTGGCTGAAAATGATACCCTGGCCTATCCAAGCCAGCAATGACCTCATTCTAGATCCACTATTTCTGCTAATGCAACCAATGATAATGTTGACTTTATTCAATCATTGTTTTAACTGACACACTGTCAGTCACTCACCTGGATCTTTCAAGAATATTTTAAAAACCACATACTACCGGAACACTTGCTATTAATCAAAACTAGATCTATGCCACTTTATGATGCCTCCCGTATATTACATGCTCAGTGAAAGGTTTAGAATGACCAAATGAATGGATGAAAAAAATCACACTGCTAACCCAGCTCTGTGTCCAGTTAAAACAAGGCAAAGTGGAAGTTGTAAAGACAAAAAGTGAATAAAAATCAAAATCACTCAAGGACAGTTGATGGGCACACTGTCACTGTGAATGTTCTCTTTTGAATGGCAAAGAAGTATCTACTCTTGGTCTCTCCAGCTGGTTGATGATAACTTCCATGTCAATGAAATGTATTTGTAATGAACAAAAAAAGATGTTAAGCACCCTTGCTGTAGGCATCAATTAGAACAGGTTTTGGAAGAGTTAGAGCATCTGTGTCTTAGAATCTAAAATGTAGTGTGTTTAGCTTTCAGAATTCTACTTAGCTGTACTTGCTTTCCTGGATTTACAAATAACAATATGACCAACATTGAACCTATTTAAATATAGTTTTGTTGTTGATGTTACTGAAGGAATAATGTCAGTGAATTCATTACCATTTCATTTAACGTCATGCTTTGTTTGCCACGTAATGAATTATACATGCTGGGGCTCAATTTGCTTGTCCTCAAAATAATATGTTTGAGCTAAAGTATCTCTCTGGATTTAAAATTATTTAATTATTAGAAGTATAATCATACAATACCCTTTTCCTGTTAAAATCTTCAGGATGCAGAATGTTTTCTGAAAAAAGATGAAAAATCCTAAAGAAGATTACAAATAATTTGGCCCCTAAATCAGTGATCCAACCTGATATTGTGACTGAAGTAGGCTGAGTTTTCTGAAGGAATGATGTGAACTCTCAGCTCTTAAAATGTGTTTCAATTCTCTTCAGATAAAAAAATACGTATGTTAACAGTAGGCCATTGAAACTCTAAAAATGTTGGGAATATAGGCAGTGCATGTAATATAACATGGAAGACGGGGAAAGTAATACTTAAAAAGGGAGGAAAAGTAAGTTTATTAAATCTAATACAACTACTTTATTTTTATTAGACATCAAAGTGATCTTTTAATCCTTCAAATATATTGAGAAGTGTATTTGCATACCAACTTAAAACACTGATTACATAAAATCAGTTAAAGTCAAGGCTAATAAAATTATCATTTTTATTTTAATGGATTATCTGGGAGGGGGCATGGGAATAGCAGTCCTGTTTTGCAAAACATTTTTGTTTCTTAGAGTAAAAAAAAGAAGGTAAGTTAAGATGTAGGTACACACCTATTATGGAACTTCTGTCTAGATCTAGTTTTGATCAATAGCAAGCGTTCCGGTAGTATGTGGTTTTTAAAATATTCTTGAAAGATCCAGGTGAGTAACTGACTGACAGTGTGTCAGTTAAAACAATGATTGAAGGAATTTTAAATGCTTAAACTTACAATTGAAGCTAGATTATTACATTTCTCAAAGGAGTCCAGATTTTTAGATCCTGGCTTTTGAACTATACATAATACCACAAAGAATTTCCAAAATAATCATTTTTATAATTCGAAAATACTGACCTTAAGCCATTATATTTTACTATGATAATGTCAACTGAGCTTTGTGAAAGAAGTAAGTGATACGTTTTATCATGTGTGGAAGTACAGAGCTGCTGGTAAAAAACATTAAGTTAGTAAAGTCAGGGGGATGGCTGGGATCTCCTTGTGCTGTTTTGCACCTCCTGGCCACCTTCTCCACGGAAGTACCGAAACTAAACAGAATAAGGAAAGAGAAACCATTCCCCATTTGGTTGTAGTAAGCTTTGGGCAACGGCAAATGAAGTCACTCTCAAACACCAGTTACTGTAGCTGACTGAGAGGTGGAAGGGCAAAGGAAAACAGCGGTGTCCTTTCTGGGGTTTCATAGGCCTGCAGATATTTGAAGGAACTGACTTCGATAACTAAAGTCAGTTAATAATGACTTACGCTTTTTAAACTCAGATGGCTTATCTGCCCACCTCAAAAGTTCCATCTGTTTACAATAAAAACTTAGAGCATCATCCAGAATTTAAAAAAAAAATCATTTAGAAGGAAACAATAAACTATCCTTAGTGGTGTATATTCTGAAGATGTACAATCTTTTCCCTTTTTAGGTGGAGGTAAATCATTGCTTTGCTCACTTCTTCCTCTGTTCCTAGACAGTGGAAAGAAAAATGAAACTGGTTGAGGGAAATTGTTCTTTACTGTTTTCATTTACCCATTTCCTCCCCATTGCACTGTATGCTGTGCACCAGGAAAGCCACCATATCCCTCTAAGCATGTTCTGAAAGCCTGGGAACTTGAATAAGTGTTAAGAGCACCTTATGAACTTGCCTCAGCCTGCTGAGAAAACATTGTTTGTACAGAAGCAGCATATTGCGAACAGAATATATTATGGCATAACACTGGCGAAGCATTATAGAGACTCTTTCTCCAAGTATTTCATTCAGATCTCTCTCATTTCAGTTTAATGATATTAAAGGGTCAGGCCTACAATCACTCCATCCTTTACTTACTGGAAAAGAACGGATTTTATTAAGATTAGAAAATTTTCCCCACCCTATTTGTCTCTTCCTCACCATTGTCTCGGCAATAGCCCCTTCGAACTGTGAGATGCTAAATAGTTCTAATGTTTGCCTCTTCCTGTAATAATCATGCATATGCCCAGCTGTGTGTCTCCCCTGCCTTATGAATTTGCAGAGTGGCCCCAGCTAGGCTCCCTCTTGTCTGGGGGACAATCGCAAAGGCAGATCAAGGAGAAACAAGTTGGAAAGAGAAGGTTCACTTTATTGAGTTGAGCTCTGAACCTTGAGTGTCTGCAGCCTTTTGATTTAGCCCTGCACCCCTCCCTCCTTGTTCCTTCTCCCCCTGCTTGTCCTGTGACCCTGTCCTTTGGCTGCTGGTGATCCTGAATGAGATATTCAAGACTGAACTGCACCTTGCCTTCCGGTGTCCAAATGGCAGCGGATGGTGGGATGGTGGCAGGTAATAAGGGAAACTGATCCTGGTCTTTCTTCTCCATTTTCTAGCATCCAAGTGAATTCTAGTGGGCCAGAGGAAGAGAAGAGGGGAGGAATCAAGACATCTTTATCTTGACACTACCTTATCAAATGCATTCAGAGACCTCTGGCCCCTCACAGATCCTGCCTGCCCAGCTGAGAGCCCTTCGGGATTCCTCTGGGGAGTGGTCACCAGCATAGAGTCATTTCTCCAGGCTCTCCCTGGAAAAGCCAATCTCCATTCTTCTAGGATCGATGCTGTGCAGACTGCATAAATCAGTAAGTAGTGGAACAGCTTGTTTTGTCTCAGCTGACAATAATTATGGATCAGGGTGCCCAGAGCAGGAATGAGCAAGTGGAAAAATTCAGCAGTAAAACTCCACATTTTTGGGAGGGTGGGCTTGGGGGGTAACATCTACATTGACAAAGAATAAATGCTGTAGAACAGAGGTTCAGCAGTCTAGGAGAGTATGTGGAGAATACAATAAACTCTGGGCAATGTAATATACAGATACTCCCACCACGTCCTTCATTCCACACCCGAACTTCCTCCAGGATCCCACAGTTTCGGTCCCCCCTTCCTCCCTTGCCCTCCCCTCACTGCTTCTGGGTTCGAATGATGTTTTCAGCCCTATTCCTGCCTTTTCCCTGCTCCTTAATGGTTCCTGCTTTGCATCCCAGAAGCCCCTTGTCCTGGCATGTTAAGGGTGGCCAGAATCTAGTTTTCTTCAGAATATTAATCACACACCAATCTTTGTTATACCTAAAGATCCATGGTCAGCAGTCGTCTGTAAATTTCCATCTTTCCTGTGGGCTAAGTAAAAAACACAGAAATTAAAAGACATTTGGAGTTATGGTAGTTCAGACACCATTTTTGGAGAGATTTCTCGTGACTTCCTTCTCTCAAATGGGCTGTTCTAGGAGCTTTCCCTTCTCTAATTCATCACCCTCCCAGATATTCTTCATGTACCATTCACTAGTAAAAATGAAAAATAAGCAAAAGCACAAAGAAATTCTATCTCATGAGCTTTGAGCAATGCAAGACACATTATAAGCACTGACTCAAAGAATGAGTCACAATTTCTTAAATTTCCCACTGCCATAGTGTATTACATCTAGCATTAGTAGCTTAACTGACAAATAACATTTTCTTTGAAAGAGAAAAAGTATTTGAGACACTTTTTCTGACACTGATAACATTTTGCCTCAACATTTTGCTGTGTTTCATATTGATTTCAGCACACTTTTTCAATAGAATACCATGAATCCTTATATGGGTCATGAAGGGTTTAAATGCAGAATCAGATATGGGTGCGAAAACAGTCTCTGATAATCCATGTTTTTTGGTTGTTCCGTACTTTTTCTTTGGGTCTTATCCAGCCAAATCACTCTCCAGGCTATACTTCTCTAACCCCAGGGGGTAGTCTGTTCACACAAAAGCCCTCTGTGACATGGCCCCTATAATGTCCATCTCTCTACTTTGCACAAGGGGAGTGTTGTTGAGCTTTGCCATGAATTATCTCAGAAGTGGCTCCGCCCCATCACCAAACAGCACAGTGATGGATCATTCCAGAGCCTCGGGGGTTGGGGGGAGGGTTAGCAGTGTTCATCCAGTTGGTGTGAGCACATAGAACAGAAGTCAGACTTGTAAGTTTGATGAGTTTTGGGGCCAGTGACTTCTGCTTTGTTCCACAGATTTGCTGATTGTGAGCATAAGAATATTTGCTGTGAATATGGCTGAAGTCGAATCAGCACAAATGAATCACTCTTATCCTCTTATCTAAAAAATCAAAACAAGAAAGTGGGAGTCTCACAGAACTTGTAGGCAAAATCTCAATCTCTCCCTCTCCTTCTCGCTCTCTACATATCTATCAAAATTATTTTACCAAAGAAATGACAATTGGATCTATAGTTTCCGTCCTGTATGGTAGTTCAAAGAAGTCACTATTTAGGAAGCACCTCTGGTGTGACAGCAACTTGGTGTTGTAAAGGCAGGTCAGCACCGTCCCTCCATCTAGGCGGGTGATCTGTAGGTGTCTCAAGGACCAGGACACTGACCCCCTTGTGTGCGTTACTGAATTCAACGCCATGGTTAACAAGATGCTGTTTTCCATCTAATGAATTTGCCCCGCAGGCACAGGAAAAGGGTTGGTTCCACCATTTTCAGAGGCCAGGCAACCGATAAATTTAACAGCATTTGTTGATGTTAATTGGGTTTGCATTGGTGTGAGACTTCCTCGCTCTGGGCTCATTTGCCTTCTGGATCATTGGAATCGCCCAGGTTCGGGCCAGCCAGTCATTCAACCATGTGATTCCAGGCTTAACGATATCTCTGAGTTACTGGCGACTCAATCACACTTTAGTTTATTGCTCAATAAAATAATAATAACAATTCGTTCAGACATTTAACCAGGCTGCATTTCTCCAGGGGCAAAATAAAGCTTTCTACTTGAAAGAAGTGTATGCTTTCACTTCAGTTTTTTCTGAAGAAATAGGTCAAAATGCTTTAGGTAGTAACAAAGGCTCTTTCCAGAGGTGTAGCTACCAACACCTGGAGCAAATTCTAAGAACTGGTTTTAGGATTGACAAAAAACATAGAGAAGACATGAGCACTATTATTGTTTCTATGATGGAGGTATGCACACACATAAATGCAAACTGTTTTATGTTATAAAATAAATTACTTCATAGTTCTTATGTCATTATAAAACTATGCTTTGCAAATGTGCACACTAATAGCAGTCTTGCTCTATTGCCAAGTGGTAAGAGTTTGTGAATAAGATTTTGTTTTGTTTTCATTACAGATACTAACTTATGCAATGTGCCTCTGTCCTTAAGAAGCTTTTGTGTCGTTTGTATGTGATTTAAGGCATATATGAAGCTGAGGGCTAATTTGCAAGTGGGCCTTTATGTTCATAGATTGGTTACAAGATCAAGTGCTATCTGGGGTAAAGGGCCATTTTTTTTGAAAATTTCACATCTGTTTAGAACTGATGTTTTTTGTAATTTACGATAACATTTAATTATTGGAAGGCAAATCATGCATTTGTATCTTACAGCAAAGTAATATTGCTATAAATGTCTGTAAGTACTTGATTCCCAGTCTTGGTGCTTACCTTAGCACAGACTGATTACAAACAATTCCTGGGCCACCTTGGTTGCAGACCCCACTTTCAGTAGCTCTGTCCTGGACTGCTCAGATGCATAGAAAGCTCTACTTTAGGCTTAAAACAAATGAGATATCATATAAATACACACACAGAGATTGGGGTAAAAAGCAATCAGTGATGAATTAATATATTATTATCAACTTAATAAAATTCTTTCAAAAGACAGTTTCTTTTAGTAGCTTGCTATTCTAGAATACAGATAAAATACTTTTAAATTTGTTTTATTGTTTATCCCTAACCCAACATATTTTTTAATCCTGTCATTGCTTGATGTGCAGATGGGAGCCCGAACATTTGCAAATGGACTGGTTTCCTGTCAACTTGCTTAACATTCAATACAAAAAATAAATTATCAAATTCCTTCCAAACCCCTGAAAAAAACATATGTTCCTTTATGTTATTTTATTACTGAACATTCTACATTTCAGAGAAAGGCTCTGAAATAATCCATCATAATCCCATAGTCACATACTGTTTTTTGACCAAGGTGTATCTTTGTGCAATGGGTGGCAGAGTTCTGTGGACACATGGGCCTGTCACCCCCTGGAGAGAAAGGCAGTCAATTTCTAGCCTTGGTTTCACTAAGGGACCAAACCAATCAGAAATTCAAAAGTGTATTACCCAAATGGTTGGCACAGAGCCAAAGTGGACTTTGATGTATTTGTAATACTTCTTTGTGCGCTCAGACATCCCCATGTGTGGAGATGCTCCAATGAGCAGTTTGGCTCTGCGTGGGTATATTGATAGAAGATGCTGGTTTGCCACTTGTGACCAGTGTCTGCTGAACCAGACAGAAATGCAGAAGTCGGGCTGGTTTGGCAATTTGCGCCATGAAGCCCCTGGAGCCCGGACTCTCCTGTCTTGGTTCTCTGTCCTCCCAGCATGTCAGTCGTGGTCCATGTAATTCACAGTCCAGTTGCATTCTAGCCAACCAGAAGGGGAGCATGGGGGAGCAAGGAGGAGCATGCCCTTTCCCTCTCAGGGCATGCCCTGCAAGTTATGTACATTCCTTCCTCTCACATTCCATTGGACAGGCTGCACTAAGATAAACACAGAAATCAAATGCCAAGTGCTTAGGAGGTTTTATAGCAATATGACATTGCCCTGAGATCCAGATATATTATCCATTCTCTTATCTTTAATTTTTATTGTATTTTACAAAAGCATCAGTTCTCAATAGATTTGCATTACTTTTTTTTTTTTTTAAGAAAAGGCCTTTCATCCCAGATAGCAATTGATCCAGTAACCAATTTGCAGATATAAAGGGCCATTTGCAAATTAGCCATGTAGCTGCAAAGAAGGAAATGTGGTCCAGTGGTGAGATCCATAGACTCTGAACCACCACCTGCCTGTCCATCTAACTACAGATCGCTGTGGGGATAGGAGATGGAGACAGGGGCCACTAACAGGGCATGCACAGGTATCTTTCCAAGACCCTATCTTGGTTGACTTTGGTTCCCAAAAACGTTTTAGTTATTCACCTTAATGTCATTTGCTGAGATGTGAGGCAGCAATGTACAATACGGATTTACCAGGAGTCCTTCCCACCATCCTTTGCTTCCTCTCAGTGTCAAATTACAGCATGTGGATAGCATCCAGCTATTTGATCTGAGTGTTGAAGGAAGGTTTACTCAAGATCTAAAGGATGAGGATTTGTGATGAAACACACACAGAAAGCTGAAGTTCCTTAAGCAAAAGCTTCAAGGTAGAGCAAAGAACACACAGGCATTGAACAAATAGAAAACACGGAACATATGGGTCAAATGTAAATATGTACAGCGAGGTTTTATTGCAATGATTACCCAATGGTTAAAAATGAGTAGAGCTACCTTTCTGGAAAGAATTCTAGGTGTGCCATGAACAACAAACTCAAAGTTACATCTTGCAATTGAGTTGTTTACCCTTTGCCCCTGGAAACACCCTAAGGATGAGGAGCAAGTCCTCCCCATTCTTTCTACAGCCTCCATGGGTATTTTAGGGATTTGAGTTCCCAGCCCATATCTGGCACGGCCTGTCCAAACTGCACGGTGCTGCACTCTGAAATCCATGACCATTTCTCCTCTAGTTTCTTCCTTTCCCTCTCTCCTTTGTTTAAGAAAGCCTGGGCTA